TCCTCAGTGTCTCTCTGTAGTTCCTTAGTGTCTCTCTGTAGTTCCTTTGTGTCTCTTTCTGGTTGTTTTGCCTCTTTTAATAGTCGCTATGAATCTCTTTGTAGCTATTTTGATCTCTCTCTAGTCTTTGGTGTCTCTTTGTAGTTGTTTTATGTCTCTTTGTGGTTATTTGGAGTCTCTTTCTGGTCGGTACGTGTCTCTTTGTAGTTGTTTTTGTCTCTTTGTAGTTGTTTTATGTCTCTTTCTGGTCGGTACGTGTCTCTTTGAGTGTTTTTTGTAGGTGAAGGCCTACACGCTTCATCCGACGTCATCGTTTCCATATTGATACACAGAATCAGGAGTTTGGAAATCTCTGCACCTTAGAAATTCGAAAACTAAGTTTGCATGAGGACGAGAGGAAAATTGGAGTTTTCAAAACCATCCGTATACTGTAGGTGTGGAAAAGCAGGGACTGGTTGGCAAACTACAACCTCAACAATTACCATAAACTTAAAAAAAGAATGGCACTTTGGTTTCAACACTTTGGTTTTTGTACTGATTAAACAAACGAGATCCGACATGTTGATCAGTGAGCTTTAGGTGCTGTGTAGAACCAGGCTAGCTGTTTCCTGCTGTTTCTAGTCTTTGTGCTAAGCTAAGCTACCTGCCTCCTGGGTGGAGCTTTATATTTACCGCACGCACAAGGAGTGGTATCGATCTTCTCATCGAACTCTCAGCTAGAAAGTAAAATAGGGGATTTTTCCAGGCAACACATTTAGTTATTCAACCATCGGTAATAATGTGTTTCCTGCTGCTGACGCCACACATGTGGTCACTACTGAGAGTATCACTCACATTCTCCTCCATCACAGTCAGACCTGCTAATATTTGCACTTGGCCGACTGTAACTTCATTCTTGTGACTCGGCTTGATTTACCGTAATAAAAGTCGTAATAAAAGTCCATCAGCAGTATTCTCAGTAATTGCTGCTGGCAACAGAAAACTGTTTAAACATTGTGGAGCTCGTAAAATTTTATAGCAACATTATTATCTCTCCTCACTTTTCCTCCACCTCCGTCTTTCTCCACCTTTCATTTTCCTCTTTCTTCTTGTTTCTTATCTTCTCCTCACATCCTTCCTCTTGATCTACTCTCACCTCCTCACCAACTCTCTTCCTCTCTCTGTTCTCCTCTTCATCCTCTTCTCTCCTCGTCCCCTTTCCATCTGTACTTCCTCTTTGGTTTTCCCTCTTTTCTTCTATTTTCTCGTAACTGACCTGTGCCTCGCACCCTCCTCCTCACTCCTTCTTTATTCTCCTTCTCATCCTCTTAACTCCTCGCTTTCGCCCTTGTTTTTTTTGTCTCCTTCCACTTTCATCTCATTCCACCTTCCTCCTCTTTTCTTGTTCTCTTCCTTCTTGGTCCCTCTCCTCCTCTTCCTCCTCCCTGCAGGCTGTTGATGGAGAGGATTTCGAATGTCAGCCGGGACAGTGGTCATCGCAGGAGGAATTCTGGCTACAGTCATCTTACTGACCATCGTCGGTGTACTGTGTTTATGTAGGTTACAGGTAGGACTGTTTTCATTTTTGCATTAATCAATGTTCTCAAAGACACTCGACTGAAATAAGAAATAATCCAAGTACAATGAAACCTTAACAGGACTCAGAGTCTACAGTGATGCTACGTAGACCCAGCGGAGCTAAATGCTAATGTGCTGATGTTAAGCATGTGTCATGTTACCCTCCTAGTTCAATGTGTTAGCATGCTAACATTTGGTAATTAGCCCTAAACACAAAGCAGAGCTGAGGCTGATGGGAATGTCATCGGTTTTTAAGGTATTTGGTCGAAAAATTCAAATGTGTGATCTGATGGTGGCACTAGAGGAGAAGTTAATACAGTTCATCCTGAATGTGTGAACGTGAATTCATCTAAATCGACAGATCCTCATACAACTGTTCGTATGACATCTTTAGAAAAGCTACTCCTCATTTTTTGTGTGTTTTCCTACAAACGTCCAGCAACACGAGTCACTTTCCGCTCGTTACATGAATACAGTCTTTTCGAAATAAACTGCTGTCTTCGTAGGAAACAACTCAGTTAGTTTTAGGAAACAAAAGTACTTGGTTAGGTTTAGGAACAGATTCACGTTTGGGTTAAAAATACTGGGGAACATTGACTTCTCGTTTTCACACGGTGAACAGCGGTTTCCTGCCTGAAAGATCTGTTTGTTGGACCCGTCTACATCCCCTCCTGCCTCCAGCACGAAGACAAATAATTGGGTTCAGGCAACAAAGCTAGTTGGTTAGGTTTAGAGAAGGAAAGACATGGTTTAGATTAAATGAACTGAAGCCACCTACATAAGTTCAGATAAGTCACGGTGATCTTTGGTTATACACGGGACACGAACACCAGTGTTCTGGGTGAAAGTCAAGTGTTTGCCATATCATAACCATTAAGCTCTCTTCCTGTTATTTTACCGCTCCAGTACTACTGCTGTAAGAGGGAGGAGTCTGAGAAGGGGGAAGAGGAGGAACCAGAGCTCGACACCATGTCTCCGTCCCAGCCCCTGGCTCTGTCCGCTCCACCTAGCCCTCCGACGCCGCAGCGCTACTTCGAGGAACCGGACAACTACCCCCCCACCTTCCTCACCGAGGCCAACGGGCCTGCCAGCTACTCCTCCACACCACCACCGCCGCCGCGCAGGTGCCAGCGCTCGCACGCATTCTGCCCGTCCTGCGCCCGCTGCTCGCTGCCCTTCTACCTGCAGCACCCGGAGAGGCTGTGCAACGGCGGCCGCAGGATCAGCTACAGGACTGTGCAGCAGCAGGACCTGGAGCTGCCCGTGGACCTGGCCAGCTTCTACGAGAAGCTCAACCTCATCCGCTCCGTCACCATGAAGCAGGTGGTCACCCACAGCATCAGCACCGACGTCTAGGAGCCGACAGGGTGGAGGGAAAGGTGCACTGTTGCACTAAATCAACATGCTGTGGGTGCAGCATTGATACTGTGTCCTGATGCACTACAACACCGAGGGCTTGTGGGTAATGCAACACATCTTCTGGCAGCGATATTGGAGGTCTGCAGCTCAGGAGCTTTGTTTCTGACAGATTTGAACAGATTTACTCTTTTGTCAGTTTTGACATAAAACGGATCATTTTGTCTGATTTTGTGTTTAGAAAAGTAGCTTCTTAGCTACTTAGCTAGTATGTATGTGCATCAAAGTATAAACAAGACAATTTACAATGTGTGATTATGTCAGTAAATGAAACAGATTTTGTTTGTTTGACTTCACCACAAAACGAGACAGAAGTGGAGGTAAAATAAGGTGAAATAAGTCTGCTTTCATGAGGCTAATGGCTGGTTAGGAAGCTTACTCTGGAATCTCTTTTAAAGGATGAGTCTGGTTCTGTTGTCAGTTAATCCCATGTGTTATTGACAGACATCTAAACAGTAATCACTGGATTACTAGAAGACACACAGCAGAGGACACATCTGTCTCTTGAGTCAGGAGCTTCAGTTTAGGGACAGATTCATTTGGAGACTGTTCACATTGACTTCACCTACAGCCACGTTACTTTGTTCTTAGAGATCCAGTATTTGTGCACAACCCATTCTCCAACAGGTGGTCATCTGCTCCAGTGCTGAACATACAGTGTATATGTGTACCTTTGTTGTGTGCTTATAACACCACTTGACTGTGATTCATTTTTGCACGGACAAATATCCAAGTGGATGTTCACACGGACAATTTGCATTATTTGTGTTTGTAGCAACAACTGTACAGTGTTGATATTCTGCTGAGCATGCTGGAGCTTCACAGCTGTTCCCACTTGATGAGTCCAGCTCCAATCAGCCAAACTCAATCACCTTTGACGGGTGAGCTGCTTTCAAGGTTTAACATCAATGCAGAGACTAAAGGAAGCAACTTTTTACTTTTATCAACAATTCCCCTGGCAGGTGTCATGGGGTAAAAACCTTTTTGTGCACATTAATTATCGATCTGAGAGCATAAATTATGAATTTGCACACAACAGTAAGATTTTAAAGAGGGATTCCTGCACTTAAAGTATCAGAGGGCACAGTATTGTAATATTTTTCACATTAACTTTGTTTTTGCCGAGCTCTGGGCGATAAATCAGGATTTACCTTCAATTGTTAAAATCTATGAATTGAATCTGCAAAATCAAGAATTATGGCTAAATGTCAATTGTTCATAAGAATTTAAACAACCGGGAGTTTGATTTTGAATCGGATACAATTTTATTATTGCTTTCATAAATAACATTTTTGATTAGTGACATTTAAAAAAGAACATTGTTGATGTGAAAACAACTTAATTAATCACCTTCACTTTTTAAATTACCTGTTGAAAGCAGAGATTCCGCTCTTGAGCGACACAAAGATCAAAGATTTGTTTAATACCAATAATTGAATTGATATCACCCAAAATTGAATTGAAAAAAGACTGAAAACTAAACCATTGCAGACGTTACGCGGAGCTTCTGTTGGTGTTCACTTGTGTAGATTTGTCAGCGCAGCACTGTGTTTGTATGGTCTGTATTTGGTTGAAACAGCAGAGAGCAGCTGGTCGTACTGTCAGTGTGTGAGTGTTTCAGTGTGTGAGTTCCTGTTTGTCTGCAGAGCGCCGCGGTGCAGAAAACAAATCGCATTTCAAAAGGGCTTTTCTGAAGCATTCAATGATCCAATGACTGTGACCTCTGGAAGACGCTTACTTCCTGTTCAACACATCGTACTGTAGAGAGACGCTGTGCTGTCGGCCGGGTTCTGCACCAACATGACGTATCGAGCATTTAAAACTGATTCTTAAGCTTCTCATTGATAGCACAGTAGATGAGTGTTTGGTACTTCACGTCACATCAGTAGAGAAAACAGCTGAAGCTGCCCATCATTCCTTTCTTTATCTCAAAATAAACCTTCAGATGGAATAAAACAAAGCAGATTTACACTAACATGAGGGCAACATGTGAGATGAAATAGTACGCTGCTAATAAAATAAACGCTGTTTATTCTGGTAGGCTTCCCTCACAGAACGAGTCAGAGTGTGTTCTTTGTTGCTGTGTGCTGTTGTCCATGTGGGTTTCTCATGAAAGTGACAGTGTTAACACATGATGGTCTTTTTACAGATTGTGAGTCTGGATTCAAGTGCAGAACCTGCAGAGTTTAAAACACTGTTTGTTAGGATGAATGGGTGTTGGATGTGTACGTTTCTAAAAACGTTTCCATTGAATGACAAAGTTTTTGCTTTCTGTCACAGCTTATATATGATATATATAAGCTGACGACCCACCTGCAACACATCAGCAACCACACATGGACACCTGGTATATGGGAGGAGGAGGGCCGTCACAATATATATATATATATATATATATATATAGCAACTTATTTTGTAAATTAAAACAAAAACACAGGACTTTAACACAGGAGACCAGTGTTATTGTCCCGTGTGAAATAAATGACACGCAAAGCGACCTTAAAAAGTAGCGTGCTATTTATACGCCTTTCCATGAGATCACATTGAAGATGTCGTGTTCCTTTAATAAACAAGAGGTTAGTCTGACAGTCATAGTTGGGGTGAAAGACATGAATCCATTCTGGGTGTTTCGGGGGACGAAGCTGCAGGTTCTACACTTTATGTTTTGGTTCTTGAGGTTTCCTGATTTTTCTTTATTTTTCATTTGAGAAGACTGAAACTGTTTCCTCTCTGCTTCAGTAGTTGATGTTTCTATTAAACCCTGAAGTTCAGTAGACGAGAGGTTGGATGCTGACCAGCAGGGGGCATCAGCTGCTGTCAAACCTGCTTCTACTGCAGCTGCTTCATTTACAGTATTAATAAAATGATGCTTAACTGTTTGGCGTTAGTCTACTACCTCCTGGAAGGACAAGAGCAGCAGCGCACAGAGAGTTACTTCTGTTCTGTTGCTTTATCGACCCTCATTAAATCAAAGAAGCCTGAGGGATGACAGTGGAGGGGGGACAATAATCCAAGATTTAAGTCACAAATGTACAATTCAACCTCACTACGTGTTCAATTAATCGTGTTTCATGTATTTATTTTGTGAGTACTCTTTATTAACTCCTTATCCTGAAAAACTGACGTAGTCACGCGCGTATCCTTCTGCTAACTTCGCCAAGTTCGTCGCTACCTGTCCCCATCAGCTCATTCGTACCTTTTGAATGCATCAACAATAAATGTCATTATATATTGAGTATGTTTGGGGGCACTACTGTTTCAGCGTCTGCTTATTTGACCACGGCGATCCGTGTGACGGCTGGCTTGATGAGGTTGATCCAAACTTTGCAAAGTGAAGCGATGTGGTTCGATGTGGTTCGATGTGGTTCGATGTGTTCGATGTGGTTCCTTGAGGCAAATTGAACATTCCCCCGGGATCTTTTCTCTCTCTCTCAAATTTGTGACTTTAAAATCTCAGAGAATGTCCATGTTTTTATTCTGCTAAATTTATGACTTTAATCTTGGGAAGAGATTTTCCTTGAATATTATCCGCCCCTCTGGACTAGGTTGTAGGTTAAAAAAAATTTAACCTACAATGGCCCAAATACGCCGTCGTACATTTTAAAGAGTGTAACTGTGTTCACATGATTTTCTTTCTGTTTTATCAGTGGTTCAGTTCCTTTTTTGCATTTTCTTCCATTTCTTCTTTTGATTATTTTCCTTCCTCCTAATTCTTTAGTGCAAAGTGTGAAGCGTTAGTTTGTGTAAAATGACTGTGCTTCCACTTTGACAAGGACTCTCTTTTGACAAAGGGATTTAGATCAAATAGTCACGCAGAGCCAGATATCCACAGCGCTGAAGAGGAAATACAGAAAGGTCTGGCTCCACACGTTACCCTTCTGGTACCATGATGGCCCGTCTCCCCTGATTGGGCTCAGTTTGGCCAGGCGGCCAGCTCCAGGAAAATTCTCTCCCAATGTGTTTTCTCTCTACATCAATACTGTTAAATATTATTACCAAAAAGGCCAAAAACTTCACCTGATACTTACAAAAGCAAAATAACTAATTCTCCCTGACTCACTCTTCCTCCTTATCTTCTCTCAGGCGACCTTTCCGTGTCTTACCTGCTTGCTCATGCTTACATCATATCTAACTCGGATTCCTTTCCTCTCTTTGGACAGTTAGCCCCCCACGCTGCATGATTCCTCCACATTCATTCACCAAACACAAACATACTGCACCAAGACGTCCACCAGTTCTGGCTTTTCCTCAAATGTAAAAGTATGTGTGCCTTTCTAAATCATGTCCAATCAGTTGAATTGACCACAGGTGGACTCCAATCAAGGCGAAGACACATCTCAAAGATGATCAAGAGAAACCTGAGCTGAATTACAAGCATCAAAGCAAACAGTCAGAAGACTTGCGTCAATGTGATATTTCAGTGTTTTAATACATTTGCTAATATTTCTAGAATCCTGTGTTGGCTTTGTCATAATGGGGAGTTGAATTTAGATCGATGAGTGAAATAATGACTTTCAACGACAAAATGAATTTTCTGAATACTTTCTGAATGCATGGGTAGTTTGTAAGTTTCACCCTTTTGTATTCCTTTTCTTCATTTGTTGATAAAGAGAAACATGCTCGGTGCCTGAGCAAAAATATCAAATTCACACAAAACTGACAGAGGCAAATATGTTCATATTAACTATTATTTAATTGAAATACAAGTCAGTACCATTAGGTTTTCAGTTTATTATCAACAGTACACAATGTCCATACTTACGTTTTGTACAAAGAGGTATCAGTTATATAAAAACACAGTACACAATAGTTAAAAATGAGACATACATGTACACGTCTGAATACATTTCAACCATACTTCAAGTGTCAGGAATCGTCTGTGTTTGCATTAACTCTCCTCTGTCACACACACGGACCAGAACTGGCATCAGTCGTCCCGATGAATAACTGCCGGCTGGCATCAGGAGCGTCACGATAAATGAAAATGTGCTATGACTAATAAATACGCTTCCATATCCTGCAGGCGTACCAGCGCGGCGCCAAGTGGGCAGTGGGGTGGAATGGAAATATAAACTTTTTACATGCCAGACACCAAACTGAAACATAATTAAATAATATCCCATAAACAGTATCTGTATTAAATATTCTAGTCATGCAGTATATTCGGTTGAGAAATAATTTAACAGATTTTTTTCAACAAGGGCGAGCTGCTAACTGGTGCTGGAGGTCTGTTTGAGTGTCGACTCCACTTCGTCTCTGACTCCACGTGTTGTTAGAGGAAGACTTTCTACCAGAACTGATAAATAATCAATAACAGCTGATTAAAAACTGACTTTCTGGTTGAGATGCAGTTAATGATGATAATAATTGTGGTGATGATGAGGAGCATTAACTGTTATTTCTCTCAGTTCGTCACGTTATGCTGATGACATAATGTTGGAGACAGTCAGGAAAAGATTTATCGGGACAAGAGGAAACATTTATTTCTTAAACTAATCGTTTTGCATGTTTACACACTGTGCTGGTCAACATTCAGCCCAGTCACCATGAAAGAATGTTGGCATTTTATGTTTCAGCAATTTGGGCATTCGGTCAGAGTAAATTACGTAATTCAACGAGCAACCGTTATTGACATTGATACAGTAACAAGTTCACCAAAGGAGAAAGTCGAATAAGACTCTCAACCAGAAAACTGCTGTTCGTGTCGCATGTGAAACCAAAAGTAAACGCTGACTACGCCAGCTACATAACGTTGTTCTGCTTATTACGTAATGTTACGTAAGAAACTCAGCTAAAGACAGTTATTTCATTAAGTTGTTACTTGTTACGTTGACAAGTTACATTGTCACATTACATTGTTTCTTGTTACATTGTTACTGTTACTTTGTTTCTTGTTACATTGTTACTTGTAACACTATTTTTTGTTACATTGTTGTTACATTGTTACTTTTTAAATTGTTACATGTTACGTTGTCATGTTACATTGTTTTTCTTTACATTGTTACTTGTTTACATTAGTATTTGAACACAAATCATGATCTTTTTGCTAACTTCACAAAGTAGTTTTGTTGCCTAAACCTAACCAATCGTTTCACAACGATTTATTTTATGTATTTATTTATATATTTAGCTAATTTACAACTGTAGTCCCAGGGCAGGAAACAGAGAATACCATTTATGTTAAGACAATTATCACTGTAGTAAAAAAACACAATTACAAGACATTACATATTGACTATATGATTACAACATCAGCAACAACACATTTGTCCATTTCTGCAAGCGTTATACAAGGCTGATATGAAATGCATTTATGAAGCATATTTTTGCTTCGGAAACGTTGACATTCAATGAACGTACAATGCCAACATCTTTTTCTGGCGCCTGGGTTGTAATATTTTCGTCTGTTATTATTACGTCTATTATCCTCTTCAAACAAAGAGTAACTGATTAAAACTTTGAGATGTGGAGAACTTCCCCTGGGCCTTTTTTTGCCCAATTATTTTGTATTTTTATTCCAAATAAAGAAGAAACACTGTATTTGGAAAAGAAATAAGAAAAAAGAGCAAATAGAGAATGATAAAAGAGTTTTATGTGCCAAAATCACAGTTGATGCAGCATCAACAAGATTGACAAAATGTTTTTGTCTGATATCAAGATGACCAGATTTCATTTTAGATCATTTAAATTATCCAACTGACAAATTAACCCATGTAAATCCAAGTTATAGGAGGAAGCTCTGGACTTCCTCTCATTGTTCAAGTAACTGTAGTACCACGTTTGCATAAACATACTCATTGGTATCCTTGTGCTGGAGTTGGGGTGGAGAAGAGGCGGCGGTGTCCTGGACTAGGAGGTTGGAGGTCGTAGGGCGCGGCAGGAGTGGCAGCAGGCCTTGCTGTAGTACCAGTGGCTGCACAGGTTGACCTTTAGCGCCAGCAGGCAGTTGGTGGAGGGACGATCCTGGCAGCTCTCATCTGGGACACAGGTCACAAAACACATAAATCTAAACCCACAACCAGGTTGAAATATCTTTGATGCCAAAACAGTATCTGTCTAATAGCTCCCTTGAGAAATATTAACATGTTTTTATAGCAATCCCTTTTTCATTCATCAAAAAAAGCCAAAGTTCAAACATTTTAAGGCAAATTTCAGTTATTTTCTCTGTTCCAGTTGTGTTTTTCAGTTATGCGTCATTTGTGCTATAGTTGGGTTCACTTAGCGTAAACAC